TTTTTTTTTTTTGGTTACCGACCCTTCCCACGTTTTTTTTCTCTTGTTTTTTTTCAAGGGGTGGAGAGATCGTAGCGGCTTTGCAGTTGCACCAATGGGTGAATGCCAAGTGGCAGAGGAAGAGTGCCACGTGGCATTTTTTTTTGAAGTGTTTTCTTTTTTTCCCTTTGTATTCAAAAAGAACTTGACACTTGTCCTTCGGGACATCCGCCAAAATTGGAACGATACAGTTTCTCTTTTTCCTGTTTCTTTTTTCTGCCCTTTTTTTTTTTTTTTTTTTTTGGTTACCGACCCTTCCCACGTTTTTTTTCTCTTGTTTTTTTCAAGGAGTGGAGAGATCGTAGCGGCTTTGCAGTCGCACCAATGGGTGAATGCCAAGTGGAAGAGGAAGAGTGCCACGTGGCTTTTTTCTTGAAGTTTTTTTTTTTTTTTCCCTTTGTATTCAAAAAGAACTTGACACTTGTCCTTCGGGACATCCGCCAAAATCGGAACGATACAGAGAAAGAAGATTACCATGGTCCCTTCGCAAGGATGACACGCATAAACCGAGAAATGGTCCAAATTATAAAATTAAAAAAAAAAAAAAAAAAAAAAAAAACCTGGACACTTTGAATCACGAATCATGCTACAACGGTACATACGTGAAAGTGTCTTTCCTTTTTTCCCTTTTTTTTCAACCTCTCTCTACTTTTTTCCCCCTTGTTTACCTTTTCTACCCGTCTTTCCTTCCCCCCCCCCCCCCCAATCAATAATAATTTAATAAATTGGAACGCATGCATCGTTCTAGTACGACCCGTGATCCATTTTCGCAATTGTCTATTCCCATCCATGCATCAGACCAACCAAAAAAAAAAAAAAAGAAAAAGAATGGCTCGTGCGTGAAGTGCCAAGCCTCTCCATTACTGAACGTACAAGTTATTTCTTGTTCTTGGTTTTGTGTTTTTCCAGTTGTAGTAGTCAAATACTGTTGCCTTTCGATAATTTTATATTATCATTTTATTCGTTTTTTAAAGACCATGAGACGAGCATTTCATGCAAAGGAAACGCGAGATGGCCGTGAGGGATTGGAGAAGGGGAAGAAGGAGAGGGCAGGAAGTGGACAGGCGACCGTCTGTCTTCCCTCCCCGACCAAACACACAGGCAGAGAGAATTCCAGAGAGGTAAAGGACCGCAGACCATACGCTTTAATTGGCGGCGGACAAGAAAAATGAGATCTGCAGAGAGAATTCCAGAGAGGTCGAGAGAGGAGGAGAGGAGTAGACGGAGAGGTGGAGAGAGAAGAGAGAGAGAGAGAGGTGGGGAGATCGGGGGGGGGGGAATAGATAGAGAAAGGTGAAGAAGAGTGTAGAGAGAAAGGAGGCGAGGAAGGAGAAGAAGACCGTCAAGAGAGAGGAGAACACGATGCGATGCATTCTTATCATCTGCCAACATGGTATGGCAATGGAGGAACACGCAATGGTCGATAATTCACGCATGATAGGGGCACCTGCAGTTAGATACAGGAGGGGGGGGGGGGGGGGGGGGGGGGAACACGAACTTGAAGAGAGAGAAAGAGAAAAACCTGCCTGTCTTAGACAGAGAGAGAGAGAGAAAGAGAGAAGAAGGGAGGGATTAAATGCAGTCGAAGGCGCAAGGTACGGGCACATGAATGCACTTAGATGCGCAAGGACACACGTAACGGAGTGGGTGAAAGACCGACGTGTACGGAGGAGCATGAGGAGCATAAGGCATCTAGGAGGGAGAAGGATGGAGAAGAGGAGGAGGAGGAAGGAGGGAGAAGAAGGGAGAACGAGGGAGAAGAAGGGAGGAGGGAAGAAGAGGGCGAAGGAGGGAGGAGGGAGAAGGAGGCAGGAGGGAGGACGGAGGAGGCGGGACGGAGAAGGAGGCAGGGCGGAGGAGTGAGAAGCAGATCCCTCACGACGGCCATAGCGAAAAATTAGACGCGCTCCTGTGGTTGATTCGATCGATCAAACGAACGGACATGATCCGATCAAAGAAACAAACGGCCATGGCACCTCTTGCCCTTATAGTTCAATCGATTGATCGAACGAACAAAGAAGACGAAGGAGAGGGTGCAGTGAAACGAAACGACGAGTGGCCAAGTTAAATGCGCATTCAGGAGGGAGGACGGGGAACAGGAGAGAGGTGATACAAAAGTGAAAAGCGTGAGAAGAGAAAAAAAAAAAAGAAAAAAAAAAAAACAGAACGGTAAGAACGCTCTTTTACCAAGAGAGAGTGATAACGCATCTGACTTCCACTCTCTCTGGAGTAAACACCCAAAGAGAGAGAGATGAGAGGCGAGTGGTTAATCGGTCGGACCGCGCATCGATGGACAAGTCGCGAAAGGGACGCACAGAGAGAGAGAGAGAGAGAGAGAGAGAGAGAGAGAGAGAGAGAGAGAGAGAGAGAGAGAGAGAGAGAGAGAGAGGGGACGCACAGAGAGAGAGAGAGAGAGAGAGAGAGAGAGAGAGAGAGAGAGAGAGAGAGAGAGAGAGAGAG